GCCACCATGCCCGGCTATTTTTTGGTTGCAGCCGTCATTATTGTTTGGTGGGCCCAGGCTGGATTTGAACCCACCACCTTGGGTGTACATGGCTGGCGCCTTAGCCACTTGAGCCACAGGCACCTAGCCCAGACCTTTAGTTCTAATTTACAGTATTGACAAGCCCAGTGCCACCTCCATAGCCTGTGGCAGATCCCAAGCCACAGTGAAAACCTGGATACAAGATACCCTGAGCAAGCTTCTCTGGGGCATGCTGGAGGATCTGAAGAAAGCTGCAGCCACTCTCTGGCAAGCGTCAGGCCTTAAGAACCCAATGAGAGAAGCCCTGAGAGCTGCAAAAGACCACACGGCCACCAAATGCAGCATGATGGAGCAGGACTGAACAGAGGGGCAGCTAGGCCATTACCCGAGCATTCCCCACAGCTGCTGAGGCTCCTGTGAATGCGTCACCCTTGTTATTTATAAAAGATTTGTGTGTTCTAGTTTGGTGCAGTGTATACTCAGATACTGATCGAGAAGGTGGCGGGTTAAGACTATGACTGTCATTTTATACTGAGATGGCTCAGACCCTGCCATAGGAACCACATGATTCTGCTACACCCAGCACCACATCCAGGACAGCTGAAATGTCTAAGAGGGCAGGGTGCCCTGCAACAGTGGGCTCTGACCATCACTTACCCAGCTCTGGTCACTTGTCCCAGGATGTCTCAGTCAAGAGGGGAACAACAGGAGTGAGGGACCACAGCAGTAGGAGAGATGATAAAGCATGCTTTTTGTTTAGCATTTTGTTGACAAACTGTGACTTCTACACTGCGGCAGGACAAAGCATGACATACCTTTCATAATTTAAGTACTTGATTTCTTGTAATAGGACGGTGTTTTTATATTTCTCCTGTGTGCTCCCTTATCTTATACTACCATAAAGTCTAAGTCAATAACTTGAAATCATGACAATAGTTCTTGATCCAAGACCTTGCCTATGGAGAGTCTCCTGAGATGTGACCTCAGAGACCTCCTCTCTAATAGGTGAGGAATCAGCAATTCAGAGAGGCAGACCACCTTGCCCGGGGACACACAGCTTGCAGCAGCTGAAGCAGGACCGGGACACAGTTGTCCTTATGCACAGTTCAGGAGCACCAGTCCTTTTGCAAATCAAGATTTTGTTTTAATCTATAAATTTATAGGTAGTATACAGAGTGAAATGAGAACATTGTTTGCTACAGTGATCTGTGGGTGCCACCCTCTGGGGTTGTATAATGGTTGGGGAAATTTAGAAATCCTTTTCAGAGGCCTAATATGACAAAGTTGGATTTGGTGATAATTTAAGGTTATTGAACTAATCTGCATTATCTTGAAGGCCTACATGGCCACTCCCCATCTTTTGACACCTTTGGAACCAAGAGATATTGTGGGTCTGAGGGAGACCTTGAGCTGGAGGATGAATGGGACACCAACTGACATCTGATTGGTGACAACCATTCCCCTCAGCACCAGAGCTTCAAACTGATAAGCCCCTGGCTTTATCCAAAGTCTCTGAAGATCTGCTAGTGGGTGGTGCTAGAGCATTGATAAGAGGGGAAGAGGATTTACTGGAGATTGACTCGGTGGCAGGAGCCTGGGGAATTAAACTTGGTTCCTGCAGGGAAATTAGGCAGCATTGAGTATGGATGTGGGCAATCAAGGTAAAAAGAAAGAGATTAATGCTTGGTGATAGAGAGTCAGAAAGAAATTTGTCCAGCAGTTACAAGCAATGGCAGTCACAGAAAAACTGCATGTCAGTAACTTGGGAAAGAACAAGAAGGAAACGAGTGATGTGAAACTATCCGAATCCTCCACCAAATTGCTTTATTAAATCATTTTTTAACGAGGCCATTGCTAGGAGGTAGGATGGGGGGGTGGTACAGCTCCTGCTGACAGGCCACCCTGACAGCTACTCAGGGATAAATCAGCAAGTGCGGATTACTCGTCTTCAGTTATTAAGGAATTAGTTAATGAATTTACCAAACTTCTGGCAGTTTTAAAGGTAAAGAGAAATAAGAAAGTGATGCATGGATAGGTTATTGATCTTAAAAGCAAAAGCTAAAGGAATTCAGGGAACAGTGAGGTACTGTTATATGTCTCAGGCAGGGTGAGGAATTTTGCACATGGTAATTGCTAGGTTGATACTAAGTTTAAATGATAAAAAATCTTGGGATGTGTTTTAATGATCAGCTGTAGGCCAGAACATGGCTATTGTTAAGTATCTGGATCAGGCCAAAAAGCTGACAGTTTCACTCAAGGCAAGTGTCAATTTTCTGAGTCTATGTGGGCCAGCGGTCTGTAGGAAAGTTCCACAGAGCAAAAGCACTCCAATACTCAGGAACCTGCCCCAAATCAGGTTAGCAACCCCCAAACTGTATTTCTCATTTAGTCTTATGGTCCTGCCAGGCGTGACATAGTCCCCAACATACAGACAAGAAAACGGAGGTGCCAAGAGGTTAAGCACCTTACAAAAACAAAGAAAACTAATCAGTGGCCAATTGAGGACTGGAACCCAGGTCTTTCTGGCTTTGACTCTCACCTTCTCTAGTATGCTAGGAAGTTCATCCTTGATAAAGGATGTAACTTAAAAAAGTACCTGAGTGTTTTCAAATTTGCAAAATCAGATGAT